ACGTCCTTTTACAGTTCATTCTATTTTATTCTTAACTTCTCTTCTGCTAGGAAAACGTCTTTTTACAATTCTAAATAGATGATATATTTTGGTAAAATACAATTTTGACGAATATTTTGTCATCTCTTTAGTTTAATTCGATATAATAGCCTCTATTCCAAATATTATCCGAGTTGTTTTTGGTAGTAATAGATGATATAATTATGTATCTATAATCACCTCGATAATTTATGTTTCATTTAAAATATATAATATTGATTTTGTAAATAATTATGTTCGATTGTTCAATTATATTCCATGGGATGTTATATGTATAAAAGACATCACATGTAGGGCTGAGACGGGATGAGTAAGGACTTAGACGTGACGTGGATAAGGGTTAGGGCAGGACGGGTAAGGGCTGGGACGAGACGCATGTAGGAGCTTGGACAGAATGGGTAAGGGCTGAGACGAGATGCAGGTAAGAGACGAGGCACATGGGCTAGGATACATATTATGTTTGTTAATTGAAATAAATATTTAATTTAATTAACTTACAATATTAAAATATTTTTTTTATTATTCATATATCCTAGGGAATGATATGAAGTTTTTGAGAAGGAAGAGACTAAGAGAAGATAAAAGAGTCTCTTGAATAGGAAAGAGAAGAAAGATAAAGAACACATAAAAAATCAAGAGCAATGATCCCGTCCTAGGCCAAACGAATCAAGGTTGGCCATATATCCCATCATGCATTACAAGTTTGTGCAGAACAATGATTTTGAGGCATTGTTGTTTGCGGATCTTCTTTCATCTTAGATTTTCGTTAATTAAAAGAAGTAATTGGTTTTGCGTTGAATCTAAAGGCTCAGTTTATAATACTAAAATACTATTTCTTATTATTTATCTCTCGCGCAACGCGCGGGTAGTTGCCTATTGTTATGCTAATCCATGATCTCAATAACATCTTTTACAAGTATCATCCTGGATGATCCGCCACCAATTGAGATCAAAGACCAATCCCAAATGAGCTTCTTAAAATCTAGATTTCCAATTGGAGGAATGCTTTCATCTTTCCGATTCGGTAAGTGATTTGACCAATCACACTTGAGTCTGTATAGTGCCATCCAAGCATACCATGATTCTTTAATCTGATGTAGAGAAAACGATTGATATCCTTTTGATCTAACAAATCACGTACTTTCGCTACGCACCATCTTCTGGATCAATCATATTATTGACTATGGAAGCTATCAAAGTAGCATGAGAATTCCATTTTGGTGGTCTAGGTGGATGTGTATTAAGCCAAGGATCATACATTTGCATGCATTTGTATTCAATCCATCTCATATCAAAAAGTGTATATTATTTTAAGTAAGTTCCGTCCATGAGAAATTAATTGCCATCAAAAAGAAGTTTTACATTATCTGTTTGCATTAAGAATATAATCATTTGAAAATACTTGTCTTTTAGAACCTTCGACATTAGACACTACTTCGTGTTCTGACCTATCTTTCGGACTACAGTAAGAGAATGAGGATTCGATTAGCAAAAGCTCAAGGACCTCTTCACAACTCTGATTTCATAGTCTCCTCCAAAGGAAATACAAATTGAAATCGTCTCTTCACAATCCTGCCATGAACGAAATATCGTTGCTGCAATTTCAAAGAAGATTTGCGATATACTTTCCTCTTTCCTCTGTTTCTTTACCTAAACACAAAAAAAAAATCAACTTATTTGAAGAAAATTACCAATTCGCTTTTAGATTACCAGTCTTTGAAACACAGGATATCGAACATCAATACAAATGTGAAGAGTCCAGTGGATGATTTCTTTACCAATCCGAATTTAGATAACCATAAACAGATATCGAACACCAATACAAATGTGAAGAGTCCAGTGGATGATTTACTTAGGGTAATTCTTCCACAAGAACTGTGTGTGCATGAACACTTACTTGTCGTGAGTTCTCGGAGGCAATAACATAGTCAAAAGTCCAGTGGATGGTTTACTTATATGCCTCGATGATCTTAGAGTAATACTCCCATGATTTGTGTGTCTCAGTTATGGCAGCCTGACCAAATGGATTCTTCTCTACAAACTTCTGAACATTCTCCGCATCTGCTAATCTTGTTAGATACTTCCTTAGCTCACCATTAGGTCCTGTCTCAAGAAAAAAAACATCAGAAGATATTTTTAGCCATTAATAGGTATCTTTCATAGCATATGATTGAAAGAGAATCTTGAGAACCAAATTATTCTCCATTAACT